CTTTCTTTTTTGGGAAAATTATATTTTGGTAACCAAAATTAAATATAATTGCTATATAGTGACTTTAAAGTTAAGAAAAGGTGAATAGTGACCAATTTTGAAACTTAATTGATATTAAGTGACCATTTGATGGTTTATTACCTAAATAGCCTTCTTATAATATATTATTATGTAAGTAAACAAATTTACCCTCTACATTAACTTAAATAAACACTTACTTAAATTGACTAACAAAAAGACGACAGATTATTAGGGTGAGTCTCTGAAGAGAAGATCAAGATGGGAGAGAACTGATAATGGATATTATACATCATTTTCTTCAAGATTCTAAGAGACATGACGAGAAAATTGTAAATTTTCTTCTTATTCATTATTTTTAAGGTATAGTTATTATACTTTAAAAGTTGATTTGTCTGAGAGATCTTTCTTAAGATATAAGATTGTAATTTTTAAGAATTTTTAATACTACTTAGTTATAGTTCAAGAAATAATGACTATTGTTGATTAATTTCATAATTTTACTAACTGTTAAAGGGTGTTTCAAAAGTATGATTTGCCACTGTAAATGTTATGATCGTTCATATTGGAAAGCCTTGAAAAATAAATAAATGATGGAAAAGAGATAATGTTGATAAAGAAATTTTAATTTTTAAAATTGGTAAATTGTAAACTAAAAAGGAAAATATTAAATGGTTGAGAGCCTTGAAAAATAGATAAAGGGTGAAAAAAAGATAATGTTGATTTTAGAAATAGAGAGAGTAGGAGGAGGATGAATTTAATGACTTATTATTTATATTGGATGGCAATTTTGTCATCTAAATTTTATTTTTAAAATGTTTATTAAACTTTTAAGTGTTTTTGACCAAATTATCCTTAAATGGTCACTTAATATCAATTAAGTTTCAAGATTGGTCACTATTCACATTTTCTTGACTTTAAGGTCACTATATAGCAATTATGTTTAATTTTGGTCACAAAAATATAATTTTCCCTTCTTCTTTTCTCCCCTTTTAATCTATTCATATGAAAATGCGTGCGTGTTATATATATATATATATATATATATATATATATATATTTCTTTTTACAACTATCTTGGTAAATGAATTATTTGTTTTTGAAAAAAAAAAATCCATTTAAACTAGTTGTAAAAATAAAAACAAAAAGAAACATATATATATATATATATATATATATATATATATATATATATAACTAATTTTGTATTTTTTTAAAATCTTTGAATCTATCTTGTATATGGATTCTTTTTTCGTTCTCTTTTATTTTTTATTATTATTTTTTCCTTTCGGATTTTGTTCTAACTCTTTTTTTTTTCTTCAGAATCCATCTCTTGATAATTGATTATCCTAACTATAGTTTTTTTCCTTTTTCAAAATTCATTCACATAGCCGTAGTTATTATATATATATATATATACACACACACACACACACACACACACATTTTCATATGGATAGATTAAGAAGGGAGAGAAGAAGAAAGGTTAGATAATTTAAAAGTGTATATTTCTCTAAAAAAGTAATGTTTGTAGAGTTCCACTAAAATATAAATTTAAGTAATTAATGTATTTAATGGGATCTGATTCCTATACTAATAGGACAAACAACTGTAAAGTTATAATCGTGCAAGGTGACTGTGATTAGCTAAGCCCGTTTTCTTTTTTGCTTTTTTGGGTATTCGAGAAGCTAAACACTCTTATCCAATCCGATTGGGTGCTTCACATTGCCTACTTGGGAAGATTCATTTAAATTTCTTCGAATTCGACATTTGGTGTTACGCGGAATCAAGGAATAAATTTGCTTTTGAATCTCAAATTTTCGAGTGTTTCATGATTCGATTCAAAACTTAAACTGTTAGGTAGAACTAATACTCAACTCCATTTATTCCCCTGTTTATTTTTTTATCCGGATCTGATGTGAGACAAATCCCTTTTATAATATTAGGTGTAATAAGAATTATTTGTTTCACATTGGATCCGAATATTACTACTCAACAGTTTGAGTTTTTTGATAAATGGGCAAATGCCCACCTTTTACAGTTAGTATCAAAGCCAGACTCAATCCTTGATTCAGTATCACGCCAAGGGCCTGACCCGGAAGGTGTTTTGGTCTTTACCCAGGATAGATAGAGTGGTCCAAGCCGCAATGAGGACGAATTTAGGTAAAAGAGAATGTAACAAGGGTCATTTATCCTATATTAAATTCGGATAAAAAAGTGACTGAATACATAAATAGGTAAATATATAATACTATTCAACGGTTTAAATTTTGAATAAATAAACATTCACCCACCCTTTACGCTAGATAATGTCATATATCAAATCACCTCTTATATTTGAGATTTTATGTTCCTACATCTCGCACTATTCAAAGAGTTTGTTCAAGTATGTTTATATATATGATTTTTTATTATTATTATTTTTACTTATATATGAATCTATAGGATGACATAAATAATAATTTCTTTGATTGGTGGTAGATTAGCCACGTGTCAACTTATACTGTTCCAACCTTTATCCACATATCACTTTGAAATGTAGCATTAAGGCCTACACATACTGCCAACATCAAACCAGACGATGTGTGCTAGGCCCAACTTTAGCTGGGGCCCATTTAGAGGTATTAGCCTATCTTCATTCGAATCTCATCAAATCAACATCTTCTCTTGGCTGTCCACAGCGTATAGTCCACAGGAAGGACAGTGATTGGAGTGGCATTAAAAAAATCCATGGCCAATATAGTTTCTGATTTATTTATTTATTTCTTATTGGGAAGGGAAACAACATCTAGGTTTCGCTAACCTTGACTTGGGCTTACGTGGATTCCAATTTTGAAGCTTCATAGGTTCATGAAAGGGATAACAATTTTGTTCTTTTGTAAAGGTATTTGCAATACAATAATATATATAAATTTTTTTACATCAATAATATATATAATTGAATACTTATAAATTGGTAGTATGGGTTTGGTAATTTATTTATTATGTCTTTCATCTTTTTATTTAAAATGCAATGGGATAATTTCCCAATCGAGTACCAATGACATATAATTTTTTGAGTAAATTACAATATTCTTTCTTGAGATTTGGACTTTTATTATTTTGACCTCCCATGAGGTTAGGCTGTGTGCTCAACAACTCTCCTCCTGTCAAATAATATTTATATATTGATTGAACTACCCTTAGCTTTGTTTAAAAGACAAAATTGACTTACAAATGGCATAAAGATTACAAGTCTACCATCAACCCTCATCAAAGTTTTGAGTGTTTGAACCTGTTTGGGGTAATATCGTAAATATATGTTTTCTTGAACTTTCGAGAGCAAAAAATTCCTCAATTGGATTGCACCTAAAAACTAAATTGTGCCTAGTAATATCTCCTCAATCTATTTCTCAAAATAGATGGTGAATGTTCAACTTTACAAAAGAGTAAGTTGTGCCTAATATTTTTTTAAAAAAAACTAAATAACTTAAATACCCCTTATACAATTATACTTGATTCTCATGTATTGAATCAAGAACAATAGTATTTATTTCACATCAAAACTTAAACGTTGGGAAAAAAGAAAAAAAAAAAAAAAAATGGAATGCATCCATTGCCTCCCTATTTAATATTGTTTTGTGAAAAATGATTGATCTCTAACGCCTACTGTAGTGTTTTGTGCGTGTAATATTAATTTAATACGTACCAAGTCTGTGTTAGGTTTAAGTAATTTCAGGGTATCATAATCACTCTTCCATCAACAACTAGACATCAACTTTATCATAATGTCTAAGGCATTAATCAGATTGGTTAGGCAATTAATCCACCATATAAAGTGGCAATAGCAAATCACAAGATAGATGTTAAAATATAAGACCAAAGAATGGCATACACTATTATTTTGTTATATATACCTTGAATCAATGCTGCTGGACATATCAAGTCGCGGGTCGCCACTATTTCATTACCGACAGTAATGATAATGAAGAAAAAACTCAAAAAATTAAAAAAAAAAAAAAAAAAAAAGAGGGAACAGTTTAGTTATTTCACATTTTATTAATTTTTTACCTATTTTTTTTATTCAGTTATAGAAGAGCATTTTAGTCTTTTCAGTATTCAGGTCCTTATTTACTCCAAAATTAAATATTAAAGACTTTTTAATTATACACTTTATATGCATGCATACCATAGGGTGTTTTTCGCTACCCTAAGTCAAATTACATTAAATCTTTAAGTTTTGTGCCATGCGTGATTTTTATGTCACTTTTAATTGTGTTTATGCTTTGACGTGTATTTATTGTAATATGATTTTGACCCGAATCACGAACATAAGTTATGAGTCGAACTACATTAAAACTTTGCATTCTGTGTTACATGCGATTTTTTGTTTTCTATCAATTTTTTATTGTGTTTTGTGCTTTATTTAAACGTGCGTTTATCGTAATCTAATTTTGACTTGAACCATGGACACAAGTTATGAGTTGAACTACATTAACTCTTTGCATTTTGTGTCACGAGCGACACGTGTCATCTTCGCTTTTTGTGTCGGTTCTTAATTGTGTTTATCAAAATCACTATTCCATCGTCACATAGACATCAACCTCATCAGAATGTGAAGGGAATAACCAGATTAGTTATTAGGCAATTATTCATCTATTACTTTACCCACACACATGAACTATGGTCCTGTACACTTATATATGTTAGTAAGACAAAACAAGATATATATAGAAGTTAAAAAACAAAGGGCGGGAAAGATACATGTATGAAACAATCTATAACAAACAATAATAGATAGATATATAGATATATAGGTTGGGTAGAGAGGACTAGAGTTAGTGAGTGAGATGGATTCATGGCGGGTCCATGTGACGGCTTGCCATTAGCTGTATGAAAAGCAAGGCTTTGATGGCACTTTCCATTTGAATTCTTGTAGTCCCCATCACTTCTTCTCACTCTCTCTCTCTCTCTCTCTATATATACATATAGTATATATATAAGCTTTACAAGTCCTCAATCTTTCATACACACATTCCCACACACTACTATAACTCTCTCATAAGGCAATCATGGTGTCATTGACATACCCCACCATGAAAAATGTTGTTGTCCCTCTTTTCTTGCATATGTTTCTTGCCTTTTCGCTCACCGTTTGGGGGCGACCGGCCTTTTTTGCGCAGGACTTTCGTATCACTTGGTCGGACACCCATATCCGGCAACTCGAAGGCGGGAGGGCCATCCAGCTAGTTCTCGACCGCAATTCAGGTACAACTTTTTAGTGGGTTCTTGTGAAAATGCCTAAATTAATTGCATAATGATTGATCACAATGGTGACTTATATATATATATATATATATATATATATATATATATATATATATATTGTGTTTTGACATTGATTTTCAGGATGTGGTTTTGCTTCCAAGAGCCAGTACTTGTTTGGCAGGGTCAGCATGAAGATCAAGCTCGTCCCCGGTGACTCTGCCGGCACTGTCACCGCCTTTTATGTACGTTCAACGTTAAGCAATTCCGCGCCTCTCTCTCTCTCTGTCTCTCTCCAAATCATCCCACTTACGATACGACAGTGAAAATGCCATTTAAGGAGTTAAACCAGAAAACTATTCAAAACTCTGTTCGATGGACGCTTTCTGAAAATTGTCTCAGAGTTGTTTTTAAAATAGTTTTCGATTTATCTGAGTTCTTGAAAATTATTTTTAGAAAATTAAACCAAACACGTTAATCCTTCCTAATCCCTCATTTTCCGTAATTATATACAAATTATAAGCAATCCGGCCTCTGTCTCTCCAAATCATCCCACTTACAATAAGACTGTGAAAATGCCATTTAAGGAGTTAAACAAGAAATCTATTCAAAAGTCTGAAAATTTTAAAATGGTTTTCGTTTTTTCTGAATTCTTGAAAATTATTTTTAAAAAATTATACCAAACACGGCCTAATCCTTCATTTTTTTTAATTATATAAAAATTACTATTCCTCTGCTCTTTTTTTACTTCTTTCAATTCCGTCAAATCAAACGAAGCCACAAACACGCATGCATGTATAAATGTGAATGTAAATTGGGTGTTTGAGTTTTGATTGATTTGGGTGGTGTGTAGATGATTCTGACACTGACAACATAAGTGATGATTATTTTTTAAAAAAACATTAAACGCTAGCATTTTTTATTTTATTTTCAGTTATACATCTACCAAAATTCAACATTATCCCTCCTAAACTTACAATAAAAATTCACTTTTGCCCTTCCTCACTCAATATCTTCCTAATCCCTCTTTTCTTTTCGTCTTTCAATTTCATCAAATCAAAGGAAGCGCCCCCCCCCCCCCCCCCCCCCCCCCCCACACACACACACACACGTGAATTGGGTTATGTGTTTTGATTGATTTGGTTTGAATTGGGTGGTGGAGCAGATGAATTCTGACACTGACAACATAAGTGATGACTTTTTTTTTTTTTTTTACCATTAAGCTCTAGTACTTTTTCTTATTTTCAGCTATGCACCAATGAAAATGTTTAAATTTAACATTGCCCTTCCTAAAATTACAATAAAATTCTTTTTTGCCCCCTCACTCATTATCTTCCTAATCCCTCTTTTCTTTTCTTCTTTCAATTCAATCAAATCAAACGAAGCCATAAACACACGCCAACACACACACACACACACATGTCTCCCGTCTCATAAAAAATGTCATGTTTGAAAAAATCGTGACTCATTGTGAGTTACGGTACAATGAGTCACGGTTTTCAAACATAACACTTTTTATGAATCAGAGAAGTATATAAATGTGAATTGTATTATGAGTTTTGATTGATTTGGTTTGAAATGGGTGGAGGTGCATATGAATTATGACACTAACAACACAAGTGATGACCTTTTTTTTTTTTACCATTAAGCGCTAGTATTTTTTTTTTATTTTCAGTTATACACCTATAAAAATTTAACATTGCCCCTCCTAAAATTACAATAAAATAACGAGTCACAATTTTTCAAACATGACACTTTTTATAAATCAGAGAAGTATATAAATGTGAATTGTGTTATGAGTTTTAATTGATTTGGTTTGAAATGGGTGGAGGTGCAGGTGAATTATGACACTAACAACATACACGATGACCTTCTTTTTTTTTTACCATTAAGCGTTAGTATTTTTTCTTATTTTCAGTTATACACCTATAAAAATTTGACATTGCCCCTCCTAAAATTACAATAAAATTAACTTTTGCCCCCCTCTCACTCAATATCTTCCTAATCCCTCTTTTCTTTTCTTTTTTCAATTCCATCAAGTCAAACGAAGCCATAAACACACAGTGACAGACACAGATACATATGTGTGTGTGTGTGTGAATTGGGTTATGAGTTTTGATTGAATTGGGTGGTGGTGCAGATGAATTCTGACACTGACAACATACGTGATGAGCTGGACTTTGAATTCTTGGGGAATCGTACTGGACAGCCTTACACAGTCCAGACCAATGTGTACGCTCATGGAAAGGGTGATCGGGAGCAAAGGATCAACCTCTGGTTCGACCCTGCTGCTGAGTTCCACACTTACTCCATTTTGTGGAACCATCGTCATGTTGTGTAAGTTATTAATCAATAATAATCTCTCTCTCTCTACCCCCCCTCTCTCTCTCTCTCACACACACACACAAAGAGTGAAGTGTGTGAGAGAGGTGTTACATGCAACCGTTCGATACGCGATGTATTAATTAATACGTTATTCTTTTTCAAATTCGATACGCGATTTGTATCGGTCAGTTTACACTAACTTTATCCAAATCCGTTATACTGTGACCGCAACCGATATCGCATCCATAATTGATACTTACATTAACTAAAATCTTACCGTTATAACAATTATAAAGATAATTCATTAAACACATTTTTTAAAAACTCGGAAAATAAAAAATTATAGCAAGAGAATCAATTAAAATTATTTTCTCTTAATAATAATAATAATTATTATTATTTTTTAAATTGTGTGTGTGTGTGTGTATATATATATATATTTTTTTTTTGAAAATAAAAACTATTATTAAAGTCTAATTTTAAAGTCCACAAAACTGGTGAAAAGGCCACTCCAAGCATTTTAGTGGGAACCAAATGGGCACTTAAATAACACTGTTTAAAAAAATAAAATAAAAATAGTAGTAATACTAATAATACAATGAGAAATGCTATTTTTAGTACTGCTTCTGATTATATCTACCATCTCGTCATTTACATGAGTAGATCCCCACACGTCTGAATGGAAAGTTAAAAAAAAAAAAAAAACACACACACACACACACAAGTCCACACATCTGATTAATTTTATGCGAGTAAAGTCTGATGTCATCATGACGTTATAAATATTAATAACATCATGAGACAAATCTTGGTATAATAATAAGATTGTTCCTTTGTGATTTTAATGTCGTGAATTGACAAAGAGAAGTGTGAAAGTAAAACTACGTACCATGTAACCTTCTTAACGAAATAATTTTTGATAATGGTGGGTTTTGTAGCTTCTACGTGGATGAAGTGCCAATCAGAGTGTACAAGAACAATGAAGCCAGAGGAATTCCATTCCCAAAGTTCCAACCAATGGGAGTGTACTCCACCTTGTGGGAAGCAGATGATTGGGCAACAAGGGGTGGTCTTGAGAAAATAGATTGGAGCAAAGCCCCTTTCTATGCCTACTACAAGGACTTCGACATTGAGGGATGCCCTATGCCAGGACCTTCAACTTGTGCCTCAAACCCTCGAAATTGGTGGGAAGGAGGTGCTTACCAACAGCTCAGCATTGTCGAAGCTCGACGATACAAGTGGGTTCGTATGAACCACATGATTTACGACTACTGCACTGATAAATCGCGCTACCCCGTCACTCCACCGGAGTGCGTGGCCGGATTCTAAATTCCATCCAGTCAGTCACCGTACGCACATCTGATTAATCTATGTGAAGTTACGAAAATATCCAGTGTGCAAATGGAGGGGGTGTGGAGGGAATAATTTGGGTATGTGTTCATAAATAAGCCTAAGTTTGTGGAGGGTTTGTCAAAGGAGTGTGCAAAAGTTTGTGGAGGGTTTTTTTTTTTTATACAATATGTTTGTGCTTGTATTTGTTGCACAGTGTTTGTGCGAATAATGCTCATAATTGTGAAAAAGATGTATTTATATAAATATATATAATATACCCAAATGTCAATATCTCAACTTGAGGCAAATAATTTAATGTTTGATGTGTCGCAATATTGCTATACAGGAGTACTGATATGGTTCAGAATCCCATGGTGATCATTCACCCGTGCACACCAGCTGGGCCACCTTCAATAGTATCGTGTGTGTGTGTGTGTGTGTATAGGTAGCAACTAACAAGCCTGTTACTATTAAATATACAGTAGCTTAGTTGACATAAGACCACTGAAATGTTCAATTCCAAACCCTAAGATGAGATTATTTTTTTTAAAAAAAGTAATGTTACAATGTCCGAATTTAGACACACCCTAAAATAAAATTTGTTTTTTTTTTTTTTAAAGGTTAAGATACGACTTTTTGAATACAAGAGTATTTAGAACGAATAATCTTATAATGTTCTAATCGATTTTTCAAAAAGGAATGATATGACACCCTAAACATGATGATGCTCGTGAAAATGATCACATAATAGACGTTATAAAAATAATGATGCTCGTGAAAATGATCACATAATAGACGTTATAAAAATTTAATAGCGTCATGCTTGTGAAAATGACCACATAAAAGACATTATAAAAATTTAATAGCGTCATGTAAGGACAAAGTTATAGTCAAGTCAACTGTATATTTTTTTTTAGTAATATACCCTTATAATTTGTTCAATTTTAGTAATATATCCATGAAAATTACATTTGTACTAAAACAATGCACTATTGCTCCCAAAGTTTAATTTCCCAAAATTTAATTTTGCCCAACTTACCTTACATCCTAACTTCGTCCTTGTCGTCACGTAGTCTTATTTTATCACATGGACCATCAAGATTGAAATGAGTCTAATCGATTATGATTCCATTAATCCTAGCATAACTTTTAAGGTTGTTAGACCAATTGATGCATGCACTTGAATATCAATGACAATGTTGAATGGCTGCAATTCAAATTCATTGATGAAGAGAAACTTCACCTTATGAAATCATTCCAAACTTGACGCCACTCCAACAGTGAATCTCGATTTCCTCCTGTGCATTGGTTGCGTGTTACGTATAAATTATTAGTGTTACGTATAAATTATTAATGCAACACATTACATCTTATTACAACAGATACATTAATATAGTTATTACATAAATATATAGTGTGATAAGTTGGAACAAACCTCCAATAATTTTTTGTAATATGTATTATTATATGTGTGTATATATATATATTCAATATTGATGATGTTTTTTTTAACTTGATTGAAGTATGATCTTTCAGTAACAAACTTGCCCTTTTATGTAGGGCATGTCTTTTATATTCATAGATGAAAGTTGGAAAATATTAAAATATAGGTGGGTTGTCGGTCACACGTGTGTTTAAGTATTGTCAGATGAGTGGAATTATTGAGTCAAAAATGTTCCAAGGAGGGTCAGTACTTGCTGACTAAATCGTCCAAATGGTCCATGCACAGTTTGAATCTTTCTGTCAATATATATATATGATTCAAACTATATATATATATATATATATTATGCTTTGACCCATGAACAATTTAAATTTTTACAAGAAAAAAAAAAAAAAAATCCTCTCCATTTAGGAACAGTCACAGTAACTCACCATGAAACAAGACCAGTTTCATAATTCACTAACCCCTATTTTCAGTGGCATATGATAAATCAAGGGCATAATGATAAATTCCGAACTCCGAATTATTAGGCATCAAAATAATTATTGAGAGATTTGGGGAAATATAACTAATATTTCAGAAAAGAAATCTAAGACAAACATTCAAGTAAAAAAAAAAAAAAAATTTCCATATATGCTAAGAAACTCAATTCCCAGTTTTACAACTATTTAGAATAATTCAAAATGCAGCAAGTATTTGTACAATTCAAAATATTCTGAAAAAATATTCTCGAATATCAACCCATTCGGAATTTTGTTTTTTGGTTTAATAAAAAAATTTGAATAAATTTGGGGCCCCTGAAAAGAAAAGTGTAGAATTTTGTTGCTGTGGTAGAAAATGTAGTTTCATGTTAAAAACGTGTATGCAGTACTTAAAATTAACACCCATCCCTCCTTTCAGAGGGAAATTAAAATGAGAGGGACCTAACTGGCTTCATTTCAAGCATTAAAAACAAGGGACCCCAACCCAACCAGCTTGCTCTGCAGGTACTTGCTCTGCAGGTATTAAAAGAAAAGATAAAAGAGCCTGCTTGTGAGTTGTGATCATATATATATGCACACACACGAAAATGATCTCTTGCACACCGGTGAGCAAGAAATTTATCCACAGCAAGCATAATGACCGTTGGATATGCTGGCAATGTTTTTTCAGCAACTACCTTTTTTACACTTGAATCATATCCAACGGTCATTATGCTTGCTGTGGATAAATTTCTTGCTCGTACATATATAGTTGTGCTCTCTGTGAGTGTGTGTGTGCGTGTGTGTGTGTGAGGATGGGGTCTTATCACCACAATGGCTTAACTCAGAGATCAACATAAAGCTGTTCAGAAGCAAGCAAAACAATGCATTCATTCAAATAAATGATTGTATTGACAGCAAAAGGATTGAAAATAGGAAATAGATATGATTCAGAACTCTTATGACGAGTCCTAATCAACCTTTGTAAGTATAACCAAGTCAAAGAGCTGAGGATAAGGTCAGGACAGACCATAGAAGATTGAAAAGTACACATCATCAATAAGTCGCATGTCTGAAAGTGATGAATCAGTATAGTACCAAAAAAACTGGGTGGTGGTTGAGAGGTGAACTTACATGGATAGGATGCTGTTTTAAAGCTTAGAATTTAATGGCACCGACTTTATCTTTGGACAGCATTGGCCAAAGAAGGTGTCTGTTGCAGTTAGCGACCGGAACAAGAAGAGCTGAATTTTCAACGGTTATGTATCCATCATCCATCCCCAGTTGCTAAGGGAGATAGATCATCTGAAGAGTTTCAGTAAGGTCATGAAGAACAGGGAATCAGGGATTTACTTTTTGGAGTTGATTTTTACGGCAACTGGCTCAGAACAGTATGGGCAATTCCCAAACATAACATCAAATGACCTGCAGTACAAAAATTAAGAGGGAACATTAACCAAGTAATTAACTTAATAAGCAGATTAGATGATATTCTCATATAAATATGGTAGATTAGAGATGGTCATGCCACGTGTAGAGTCAGCATTAGTAATCTGGTTTAATCAAGGTTTCCGATAATGTATTGATTGGTTAAATGGTATTGGTAGTTTTGCTGTGTTTGGAAGCAATTTCAGGGTTAAAAGAATTTCTGATAGTGTATTCCATGCATGACTACTGAAGACCACAAAAATAGGAATTTTTATTTTTCGTCACATACAAAGCAAAAGAATAAGGAATGTCAAGAAAACAAAGAAATTTTTTTCTAAACAATAGAAAACACAAAGGAAAATATCTGCCAAGTCACAGATCATTTCTTGGCTGCAGTGCTTGCTAGAGCATTAGCAGATCTAGTGCCAATTGTAAACCCACTATATTATTTAAAAATAAGTTAGTACGGGCACGGATACGACACAACACGGCAAATCCAAAAAAATTAGGACACGGACATGGTGAATAGTATATATATATATATATATATATATATATATATATGTGATGTAGTACTTTAAAAATTACTGAGGGTTATTATTTTTCATCAACCTCACAATGAAAAAAAACACAAATCATAACTCATAACTAATAAACTATAAAAGAACAATGTTGCATAGTTATAAAATTAAATAAAAAACAAGACATTAGAATAATAACTAGTATCATTTAATCATCATTGCAACTTTACTCCAAATACAAAAGCATAGACAGAAAGAACTATTAACATTCATGACTGTTTAACATTTAGGACTTTACCGTTAGCACTTAATATTCACAAAAACCTAAAGGCTAGTCCCCAAAAAAGATACAAAAACAAGTCAGTGTACTATCATCTATTCCCATCCATCATTTGACCTAGGACTTTTACCATTTACAATACCAAAAGGGTAGTACAAAACAAAAAATAAAACATATCAGCATTAAAAAAAATTTTTTTTTAAAAATTAACATATCAGCATTAAAAAAAAAAAAAAAAAATTCCAGAAAAGTGTGTCCGAGCCGTGTTTGAGCTGTCTGAGCCGTGTCCGAAAATTAAAAAAAAAAAAAATTCCAGACACGTTTTTTGGTGTGTCCGACACGTGTCGGGGCGTGTCCGTGTCGGACACGGATTCTTCGCCCATTTTGGAGGATCCGTGCTTCCTAGATTACTAATTTCAGCAGGATGCATAAGTCTCCTAGGGAATTATGTGCCTCTACTAGCCCTATAACTGATATTAGCACAATCCTCCATGGTAGAGTTACAAATGCCCTTGTCAACAATTTAGGCACTAGGCCCATCTGCAATTTGGTAAGGTTAAGTTTAATGGAAATGGAAAACGATAAAACCCCGATCGGTTCTTGGTACTGACTGATGTGGCTATCAATGAGATAAACACCCTATAAGGAGAGAGATTCTATTCTTATCCATTACTGACTAAAGAGTCCTTGTTGCACACTATTTATTGGAGTCACACAAAAAAATGATCCTTTTTTGTAGCATTACGCAATGAAAAACTACCCACCTCAACCCCAAGGGGTTGGCTCAAGTGGGTAAGAACTTGGCCATGGTGCCTCAGGAAGCATCAAGTCTAAGGCTCGAATGCTCTTGAGTGCAAACAATTCCTTAAGGGAGTATCAACTAGGGGAAAAAAAAAAAACTACCCACCTCAAAACAGGTAAAATGAATTGAAGAAGAAGGTTCGGGGATATAATTCCACAGGCATCTTTCAGTCTGCAGCAGTTCACACTAATATTTCATCATGACTATGAATAATTTGGTTGAGATAGTATTTAGTTCTCTAGGAAATCATTAATGCCATTTGGAAGATGGAGTACATTCTTTTGCCCCAACATCACATAATCAAGACCTCCTAGCTGTTTGAGAAGGGAGGCTGTGCCACTAAAGCAAATGAAAATTTTCTCATCCTACGAACTGGCCTAATGACCACATGAAGTCCCTTTGGTCCCTCTTTATCCTACCACCAATAGTAGAACCTTGAACAACAAATATGAAGTGGGCATGAATATTAGCAAAAGGCAATTAATATAATATAGTACATTTTCTAGCAGGGTGAAGTAGCCTTTGTAATGCTAGCTAATGTACTTTTTTAACACTGGGTCTTAAAATCCAAGGGCTAGAGGTAACAATAAGCAAATTCAAAACATTTAAGAAAAAGCGCTCAGAGAGAGGGCAATTATATATGTTCAGAAAATTAAGCAAACCTATCCTCAGTGATATTCTACCCGGCAACCTATACAGCATGGACAATTCTTAAAAGGAAAGGTGATTGTGCAAGACATCGTGTAGGGCTGACATTCATTTGATATGCCTGGACAACCCATGCATACACGTCCAATAGGAACAAATTTTTTAAATAATATCTGTCTTGAGAGCGGTCAGTTGCATATAGCTAACACTTAGAGATATATAAAAGACCGAACAATATATGTTGCATATAATATCCTGAGTGAGGAACACTATTACTTAAGAAATTTAGGTAAACTAACCAAAATTAAAAAGTTATCCAAAAACATATAATAATAAGTTGTAGGAACACATTATAGATTATACGTATTCATGCCAATTTCCTACTTTCAAGTGATTGTCCATTTCAATATATTTACATCATGTTGAGTTGTTGTGCCAATGACTGATGGCCAAAGATAAATTCTCTCTGATAACCATTGTTCTGGACATGCATCAAACAAGGTGAGAATCAGCTTCAGGTTGACTATGCAATCAATGCATGCTTGAGGAAGAAAAGATCATACTATCTACCAAATTTCAAAGATTTTGACCAATCACAAACCCCTGAAACAAAGGGAAAAGCAGACTAACTAACAAATTGCCAAAAATGTCCACAAGAAGGGTCAAGAAGAAGGGGGGAAGACAGAACACGTTGATGCAGTGGGATAAAAAGAGTAAAGAGAAGATCATCCTCTTCAAGATAGAAAACCTTAACTGTATCTGAGTCATATGTTGGCAAATTCCTACTCACAACTCGTGTTCTAATGTTTCAATGTGTCTTGAATCGTATGAGAACATCTAATGCAGACACGGAAGACACAAAATGTGAAAACGCGGTGGAAGATTTGCATCCCCAATCACACATCTAGGTCACAGGTGAATTGAGCTTACTAAGACCTTAGTTTGATCTTGGTTGGGCGCATAAAAATGTTTTGGAAGTCTTTGTGAAAAATGGATTTTTGAAACTTTAAGTTTAATACATTTTTCAAAACTGGAATACAAACTGGAAAACAGCATACGTCGACTGAATGGTTGATCAATTGAAAGGCTTCCAAAAGACATCAATCAAAATGGTTGACCAATCGAGATGTTCCAGGAAAAATAAGATTAGTGTCAATCGATCGAGGTGTGTCCATTGCGGTTCAATCGAATGCTCGGTCGATCTAATCTATCGAACATAAATTTTTAGAAACTTAATCTGAATAAAATTTTACAAGGCATTAACTACCTAAAACATATGGGACTCCTATATTGGCAATAAATATGGGGTTATGGTTAGTCTAGGTATGAATTGAGCATCTCAAATGAACTAGAGAGAACTTCCTTATGAGATAAAATCTTCTGTTTAAGTCAATCTAGGGTCCAGAGAACATACTATGTGTGATTGAGTGTTCATCAAGGAGAAGATCATTAATCGATCCTATTCAACCGGGCAATTCAGAGCAGGCAAGGGCAAGAAATCACTAGAGAAGCATATTCGTGATGAGTGGATGCCATAGACGAGCAGACAGACAGTCTGGAAACTTTCTGAGGAAAGTTTGGTGTCATCAGTGCTAGAGGTAACTAGGGGTTCCAAGGTGAGTGAACTGTTAACATAGTTGCAATATCTCTGTCTTTCTCGGCAGTGGATTGTGCCTAACTGGATTAGGTCCAGTGCTGTTACCCTTTTTGGGTTTTCTACGTAAAAATCTTGTGTCTCTGCTCTACTTTACTTTTTGTTTATTGCTTGATTGAAATTGAAAATTAACTACAAGCTAAAAATCAATCATCACAAATAACTAACTGGAATTTGAAAAGGATTAATGAACTTCTAAATTTTCTTAAAGTAGAATGGTAACCATAAAACCTATTCAACAACCAATGGAGGTCTTACCTGATGTTAGTTTCGCGGCTCTCACCTATGAGGGGTCTTGGTAGGAGTGGACTGGATACAAAGCTAACTTTTATCATTCTTGGGCACCAAGTGACTTGTCTAAGTCTGCTTTTATCATAATTTGGCACCAAGTGGCTGTTTGCATATTAGGACTTGTGTTCTCATTCTTGGCAACATGGATTTTTTATTTTTTATTTTTTTATTTTTATTATTATTTTTTTTATTTATCACACGCACCAAGCAATAAACATTACAAAGTAAAATTTAAATGTGTCATGGTGCGATTAGCCCATTTAATCCGTCTTTAGAATCTTTTAGAAGCCTAAGAAAAGAAAAAAAAAAAAAATTAAAAAAAAAATAATTTACATGTGTAATTGTAGAGAGAGTGTTTAGACATTCAAAGAGTTTAAATAGTTCGACCCTGTTCTATATATAATTTTAAGGTATATTTGAACCTTGACACTCACCTTATACAATGAGCTATATACAGATGGTTCTCATTTTGTTGAATATACAAGTTTTATATCATAAGACTTTTCCATTCACATTCAAATACTAAGAATACAATGGAGGCAGTTAGTGTCCATGGGAAGTCCAAATTGATATTGCTTGAGTAATTACCCTTAAGCCTCCGAATGACACTCTTAAATTCTGAAAATTTAAGGTAGCTACTTAAAGTCATAGCAATTGACTTTGTTGTAATTCATGGTGTTATTGAACTTGTACATGAACTAAAAACCTTTTTTTCACCTTTACAAAACATGATAACAACAAGTAGCTCTACCTTAATTCTGCTTCCAAATAAAAACTAGGTAGCATGTCCTACCACTACATGTGTGCCATGTTGTTAGAATAGAAACAAGACAGACAAATACTAAGAACAATATCAGCTTACATCTCCCTTGTTATTCCAAATTCTGAACTAGAGAACTAAAGATATACTTGGTAACAAAATATGTAAAGAGATATAAAAATTTCAACATACTGCCTTGTACTTGTGATGGAGCGCAACCAATCCCCAAGGCAAAGACTATGGAAAGCCCTTTTGCAATTGTTATTGTCACATGTATAATCAGTTCCACTTCCACTCCTAGCTCCAAGTTCATCATCTACATTAACACCACCATCCCAACGGTAAACAAATAGAATGTAAGTTAGGGGACTTGATAATGTGCACATTCAATTACCAATGGGAAGACATTGTGCGTAACAAATTCCACATTCAACTTGCTGATTATTTTTCTGGACATCTGGAGGTCCTGGAAGTTGAGTCTCCATTATGATTGCAAGATTTTCGGGAACAGGTTTGTTCTTCTTCCTAGAAATTAATTTGAGAGCACAATAATGTTGTTAATGATGAATAATTGATGACCAAGCTAAAATTATCCAAAGATAGGAAAGTGCATATTGCTCTTCGGAACAAATGCAAGAAATGATGACAATTTCACTCCAAGTCCAAGAGGACCTTGTATTACAACATCAGGATTTAGGTCCTAAGGTATCTTAACATCTCAAAATATTTTTAGGAAACAAAAATGACAGCTGGAAAAGGTATTTTATTAGTAAATGTAATTATATCTGTAATGTGCAAATAAAATTGTTTTTTCTCATTATTTGCTAACTGCTTAGCGGGAAAACAATCTCTCTAAAGTTAACAAAAGAAAATAAAATTGTTTTTACTGAAGGATATCTGTAGATGGGATTCTTTTCCTGTTAAGCAGTAAGCAAATAACCACTCCGCTAAACAGTTGGCAAGTAAAAAGTACATTAGCTACTGTGGTCCCAACTACATATGGCATTGGGAGGGAAATAAAAGAGATATACCTAACCCTTGGCATTATTCGGCACAAAGTGACTACTCTGAGACTCAAACCTGCATCCTTAACTTTTCAGCTTGATGTTTTACCATTTGCATCAATCAATGACCCCTAATGTATATCCTTCAGTAACTTGACATTTTATGTAAATTACAGAAGTTCCCTCCATGAAAAAGTACAAATAGAAGGACAGACATTGTAAGTCCATTGTTGCACATAAAGACCCAATGACTTCCCAACAAATTAGAATTATACATAAAAGAGTTAGGGATGCTTCTAGAAGCAACTTCTTGGGAAGCCAACCAGTGCCATATAACCACTGTAATAGCTTCTATTCTTTCAGTTGCAAAATAACCACTGTAACCTCATTACTTATTCTAATTACAAATTCTAACCGTCTTTGCCAAATATAAATATATATAATTATAATGGTAAAGATGATGATATTTAGTGAAACTTCAATTAATCAATGCACTACCAGTGGGTTCCTCCGGCATGTCTCAGCTGGTGCTTGGGTCCCTTTTAGAAACCTTTAGGATGAGCTTAACCTATCACAACAATCTCACTTCAAACAAGCGAATGAAGAACAAGTTAAGTAGTTAACTAAATTTGGGTCCATTTTGAAAGTAGAGCATACGTTGCATCCATCCCATCTATCTCCACCACCATCATACTATCCTTTTCCAACATGACCACTACAACATCAATGCACAACCTTTAATGACCAGCACTAGCACTAGCACTTTTACTCAAACCCCTTAATGGAAAACCCATGATCCACATCCAAGCTGCGATTTTCACCTTCTACCCAGGGATCAAAGACCCATCGTCCACAACCTCCACCACTACAATGGCCACCTTCAACATAACTCAACCATCCAACCCTCTGCTAAAATACTCAAACCCCAAGAAAACAGAGACCCAAAAAAGAAGACCCAACACAGGATCGACATAAAATGAAGTCTCAAAGGATCAAGTCCAGCAGTCTCTTTTTCCTCTACCCTCCCCTTAGAAATAAAAATTCAAGGTGGCTAATTCCTGTCCTGGTTATGTGTCTTCTTCAGTATGAACACATTGAGCAAAATTAGCTTTCCTCCCTCAAAGACGACGAGAGGGGTTCGAGCTCCGTTGTGGGCAATTGGTGAAATGTGTGTGAGTACTTTACCTAATAAAAATAAATATCAAAATTAGCCAATGGTATAATCTCTCCTACCTCAAAGGGGAGGTGAGGGGTTCGAGCTCCATCGTGGGCAATTTTTGAAATGTGAGTGTGAGTACGTACCTAAGAAATAAATAAATAAAACATTGAGCAAAATAAATATAATTAATTTTAGAAATGCTGAAGAAGAGAAGCATATACTTTCGAGAGAGGACAGAGGCAAAGATTAAAGAACACTCTAGAAAATTTAGAGAGAGAAAACATAACAGAGATATTCTCATGTTCTGCCAACGGCTCTTGTTTATTATCACAGTTATCATCACAACTTTCCAACTATTTTTCCAATTTCATTGCATTTCAAAAGGAAAATGGTACTTTTAGGACCTCAAAGATGTAACCAAACATAATTCATGTGAATAAAATGACCTTTTTGGATTTAACAGAACATTCAAAATTTTATTCACTAAATATTTTAGATTCATTTTAATGGATATCTTTCAGCAAAGGCCTATCCAGTGCAAAAAAGACACCAAAACAGGTTTGAATTTCAGTCAGTTCTGATTTTTGAAATAAGACTAATTCAAGTAACTTCACTGAAAATTACAGTGCTTCTAAAGCAAAAAGAATAATTCAAATCACTTAGGCTCCATTTGGTTAGATGGTAATAAGCAAGAAAAGAAAAGAAATGGAAAATGAAAGAAAAATGAAGTGAATGAAAAGGAAAGTTATTTTCTAGCATGCATTTGGTTAGTGTTGTTTATCATGAGAGATAGAGAGAACAGAGAGAACAAAATGTATATCTATTTCACCGACTCACTACCAAATAAGCCTATATAGGCTTATATAAGGGATACAAGCCTCCTCAATAACACAAGGGCCTACTAATATAATGTAATTACATAATGGCCCAACATATATATATATATAACATTCTAACACTCCCCCTCAAGCTGGAGAATATATATCAAATAATCCTAGCTTGGAACAAATAGTTCTTAACCGGTTATGACCCAATGCTTTGGTAAACATATCAGCTAATTGATCTTCAGACTTCACGAATGGAGTAGAGATGCTCCCAAGCAATATCTTTTCTCGAATGAAGTGACAATCAACTTCAATATGTTTGGTCCTCTCATGAAACACAGGATTTGAGGCAATGTGAACTGCTGCTTGATTATCACAGAACAATGGAGTAGGAACTTCAACTGTCAACCCAAGTTCTTTTAGAAAATGTTGTATCCAGGTCAACTCACTAGTAGTATGAGCCATTGCCCTATACTCAGCTTCAGTACTAGATCGAGCTACCACCGTTTGCTTTGTACTTCGCCATGTAACAATATTGCCTCCTACAAATGTGTAGTAGCCTGTAGTAGATCTCCTATCTGAAGGAGAACCAGCCCAATCGGCATCTGTAAAACCTTCCACCCTGAGATGACCATTTGATTTATATAGTAACCGAACACCTGGAGCTTGCTTGAGATATCGGATAATCCGAAGAACAACAATCCAATGTGGCATTCTAGGAGCTCCCATAAACTGACTTACAACACTAACTGCATATGAAATATCAGGTCGAGTGATAGTGAGATAAATTAATTTCCCAACTAGACGACGAAATCTGCCTGGATCATTAAATAGATCACCCTCATCAAACACAAGTTTTGTATTCGAATCCATAGGAGCATCAACCGGGCGACCACCCAACATACCTATATCTTCTCATAAATCCAACACATATTTTCGTTGTGATAAACTTATACCCTTCTTGGATCTAGCAACTTCAATACCCAAGAAATACCTAAGTTTACCCAAGTCTTTAGTGTGGAATCGATATTGCAGAAACAACTTCAACTTAGCAATGCCTTCAGAATCATCACCTGTGATCACAATATCATCTACATATACAACAAGAAAGATGAAGCTAGCTTTAGTGCGCTGGTGAAATACCGAATGGTCAGTCTGACATCTGTTAAGACCAAATTTTAATGCTGCCTCAGAGAATTTTCCAAACCAAGCCCGTAGAGATTGTTTCAATCCATATAGGGCCTTTTTAAGGCGACAAACAGTGTGAAGAGACTCCCCCTGAGCAACAAACCTAGGTGGTTGCTCCATATAAACCTCTTCGACTAAGTCACCATGCAAAAAAGCATTTTTAACGTCTAACTGAAACAGAGGCCAATGTCTATTAACAGCAAGAGAAATCAAAACATGAATAGAAGAAATCTTAGCAACAGGGGCAAACGTCTCATCATAGTCAATACCATAAGTCTGGGTATAACCTTTGGCAACAAGACGAGCTTTTAACCGCTCAACGGACCCATCTGGAAGATACTTCACAGTGTAGACCCAGCGACAACCAACCGGTTTGACACCTGGAGATAAAGGAACACGATTCCACGTGTCATTCTGATGCAAAGCATCAATTTCATCTTGCATGGCTTTCCTCCAGCCCGAATCAGACAAAGCATCCTACACAGTCTTAGGAACAAATGTAGTAGACAATTGAGAGGAAAAACATGAGAAAGATGGCGATAAGGAATTATAAGAGACATACTGAGCAATTGGATGTTTAGTAACACAGGAGTGAGGAGCTTTACGTAGTGCAATAGGCAAGGATTCAGACACAGTGGAAGGTGTTGGATCCAAAGACTCTAAAGACGACGGAGGAGGCATGACAGCAGATGGCTTTGGTCTTCGAGTGTACACCTGTAACGGGGCAGGCAAAGGAGATCTAGGCTGAAGAGAAAGTGAGGGAAGTGGAACCGCAGGAAGAAGCGACTCAGAAGTAATATCAAGAATTGAATCACTATCTGAAAAATATGGGACGGACTCACAAAAGGTCACATCCACGCTAATAAAGTACCGTTGAGAAACAGGACTATAACAACGATAACCTTTATGAGAACGAGAGTATCCAAGAAATACACACTTTATGGCACGTGGGTCAAGTTTATCAAAACCAGGACCAAGATTGTGGACATAACAGACACAGCCAAAAACTCGAGGAGTAAGAGAAAACAAAGGAGAATCAGGAAATAAAATAGAATGTGGAGATTTGCCATCTAATACAGATGACGGCATACGGTTAATAAGATGACAGGCAGTAAGAACAGCATCACCCCAAAACCGTTTAGGCATGCGCATATGAAACAAAAGAGCACGGGTTACTTTTAAGAGGTGTCGATTCTTACATTCTGCAACTCCATTTTGTTGAGGAGTATAAACACATGAATTTTGATGAATAATTCCTTTATCACTAAGATAGGTATCAAAAGGGGTTGCAGAATATTCCTTAGCATTATCAGAACGTAAAATACGAATTGGACAGCCAAACTGAGTTTTGATTTCTTTTCAAAATTTTTGAAAAATTAAAAATAACTCAGAACGATCTTTCATTAAAAACAACCAAGTCAGGCGAGAATAATCATCCACAAATGTCACAAAATAATGAAATTTATTGATTGAAGAATGCTTTATTGGACCCCATACATCTGAATGAACCAAATGAAAAGGACTAGAGACACGATTATTAACCCTAAACTTGAAAGACACACGATGGTGCTTACTAAGTTGACAAACCTCACATGACAAGAATTTCAAATTACTAAGACTAGGAACTTGACGCTGCAAAACTTGAAGTGACGGGTGTCCAAGACGACAGTGCCACTGGAATGGACACAGAGAAGACTGAAGAGCCACAGGATAAAGTGCTACATCAAAGTAATATAAGCCACCAGCTTCATTCCCCGTACCAATCGTCTTCTTCGTCTTGAGATCCTGAAACACACAAAAAGTTGGATAAAATGTAACAGAGCACTGAAGAGATTTAGTAAGCTTACTGACAGACATTAAATTAAAGGGAAACTGAGGAACATATAAAACAGATGAGAGAGACAAGGAATCACTAAGTTGAGTTGTCCCCAAACCTGAAACGTTAGCGGAGGAACCGTTAGCAAGGGTAACTCTTTGAGAAGGAGGTACATAATTAAAATCAGATAGAAGAGAAGAACATCCAGTCATATGATCGGATGCTCCAGTGTCTATGATCCAAGGACTGCGAGTGGAAGACAATAGACATGTGGGTGCAGTACCTGACTGGGCAAAGGTAGCCGTGGAAGATGAATTAGATGCTTGCTTATAAGACAAAAACTGAGTATACTCATCACGTGAGACAGGGACCGTATCTGATTCAGCCACATTATGAGGTCCAGAAGCAACATCATTCGGAGAGGAGGAAACTTGATTTGCATAACTAGATGGTTTGCCATGAAGGTCCCAACAAAAATTCACAGTATGATTAGAAAGACCACAATGAGTACATTTTCGTGATTCCCTGCCACGGCCACGTCCTCCCCGTGAATCACGACCGCCACGTGTGGAGCGTCCCCCACGACCTCCATGGAAAACAGTATTTTCACCCTTTGAAACAATCAATGCTGAACGCTCACCACTCTGCCCAGTATTCAAAGTGGAGGTATCACTGACAAGTGTAGCGCGCTGAAGTCTAGAAAACACATCAGCAAGAGATAGAAGTGTGGGACTGCCCATAATCTGTGAACGAAAAGACTCATAAACTGAGGACAAACAAGTAAGAAAACGAACAACATTAAAGTCCTCACGTTGTTGTTGCATACTGCGAACATCAGCAGTAATGGGCTGATACATATTCAGCTCCTCACAAATGCCCATAACTTTGGAATAATACTCTTCTATACTGTGACTACCTTGTTCAAGATGAAAATACTGCTTACAAAGCTCATAAACACGAGTGATATTACCTGTCCCAGAATACAGTTGTTGCAATCTGTCCCATATCTCCTTTGCAGTATCCAAATAAAGTAAAGTTGTACTAATTTGGGGTTCAATACTGTTTATCATCACAGAAATGATCTGAGCATCTTCCTTTTCCCATGCATCAAAAGAAGCATCAGTTTCCTTAAGTTTCTCTTTAGTCAGATGATTACCAAGGCCTCTACCTTTGAGAAAAATTTTAACTGATTTAGCCCACAGTATATAGTTCTTCCCATTGAGTTTAACAGAAGTCATGGAAGAATGAAGAACAGAAGTGGGAGAAAACAAATCTGAAGTGGAGGCCATGTCTTACCCAGCAAAACAGAGAAGAAAATATGAAGCAGAATTGGTATTCGGGCCGAACCTGGGCAAACGGGTCGGATCCGAGAACAGGTCGGATCTTGGCAAACGGGTCGGATCTGGACGAGCGGGCCGGATCCGGCTAACGGGTCGGATCGCGGATCGGATCTGGTCAAACGAGCCGAATCTGGGCTATCCCTAGTTTACGAAACCAGGGTTAGAATAACTATCCCAGGTTTAGTAAACCAGGGTTGGAATAGCCTCACTCCTGCAGCCAAACACCACCCTTCTCCTTCACAATCAGCGCCGGCGAGAACCAGAACTCTGCCACCGACAAGAAATTCCAGCACCCGAGATTCGCAATGGAAAAACAAGGCTAGTACACACCCTAGCCCTTGCAGCGGTGACGACAACCCAACAACAACAAAAAAAACAGCGATCTAACAGCAGAGCGGAGAGGGATCGCGATGATGGAGCTTCTGCAACTTGCGACAGCCAAGGAAGCCTCGACCAGCAAAACGAAAGGCGTCAGATTTGAGAACGACGAACAAATCTTCAGCGAGTCAGATCTGAGAACGACGAACAAATCTTCAGCGAAGAACAGAGTTGGCTTCGATCTTGATTTTGATTTGTAGAAGAACAACCCAACCCAGATGCAATCACAACTACAACCCGCTCTGATACCATGTTGTTTATCATGAGAGATAGAGAGAACAGAGAGAACAAAATGTATATCTATTTCACCGACTCACTACCAAATAAGCCTATATAGGCTTATATAAGGGATACAAGCCTCCTTAATAACACAAGGGCCTACTAATATAATGTAATTACATAATGGCCCAACATATATATATATATATAACATTCTAACAGTTAGCATGAAAATTTATTCAAGAAAATTGTAGGAAAATATTAGTTTGTTATTTTGGATTGCATAAAAGTGAAAAGAAAGTGATTGAACATACCAAAATTACCCTGATGATTTTAAATACTAAAAAATAAATGAATTTGTATTTGATGATGTCTATTTTAGCAAATAAATAGTAAAATGATGGATTATTAAATTTAAATGTATAAGAGGAATGTCAAATAAAAAGGAACTCCTTTCACGCAAAAATTTTATTTTCCTGTGTTTTGTGCAAGAAAAGTTTTGGGAGAAAATAGGCATGTACGGGAAATAAAAATTTCCATTATGTTTCTTTTTCCATCTATCCAAACTCCAAAAAAATTTAAAAATTTTCTCTTTCCTTTCTTTTCTAGTTGATTCCACCTAACCAAATGAAACCTCTAGATTTTAAACTTTTTATTGGACTTCAGAAATACTAGGACAGGATTTAAGCAATGAAAAAACACAGAATTTCAGAACCACGGATTTAAATATTGAAACCAAAAGGCATACAAGTATATCAATGCTTCATAAATGCAGGTGCAGTCATTTCCTTTGTCAGGGAAAAGTTGACATTTCAGAAGGATAGGTTCGAGAAAATACCATTTTCTGCAATTTCTTTTCCATAATTTTCTCAATGAGTTGACCTCTGGATCTGCACCCATAAAACGATACCTACAAGAAGTTATAATCCAATGACTGGATGAGGAACAGAAGTTAGCAGCAGCAGCAAAGGTAGATGATCCGAGATTCGAGATGAAGTCTTACTCTGGTAATGATTTTGGATCATTGGCATCTATAAATAACATGAGAAAACATTCGTTTCCTGATATAAAATAAAGAAACAGAAGACTGTAAGTGACATTAGAAAAAAAAAATTTAAAACAGAAAATTACCACTGAGTTTGCAACTCGGTTGATAACAAACCAATATTGATTTGGCGATATGATGCAGCACGATCTAGCTGTTTTGGATCAACCACCCAAAGAGATTGGTCAATATCATCCACGGTAGACCAAAATTCCTGAAGATTCTCCAGATGCTGGGTATAATAGTAAGGAGTAGGCACCCATTAGTAAAAGAGTGAATTTATAACACAAGTCACTTCTGACACAAACCTTGTTCTCAAATGACTAAAAGCCTCTCTCTCTCCCAAGAAAAAAATAATAATAAATACTTGTCAAGTGTACCTCCTGAAACTGCTGCACAACATCTTTCAATCTTGAATTAATTGACCATTCCAAATTGAAAATATGAGGTACATCCTGAAGGAAGAATTCCAACTTTAATTCTGAATATAGAACCTTCAAATATCAACAGATTATAGCCTATAGGAAACCAACCGCTGAAATCGAAGGTGGACATTTGGGATAGGATTTATCCAATAGAATTTCCATAATATGCACTCTTCCTGTCTTGTCCCTAGCACTCAAAAACAAAAAACCTGAGTCGGCTATTTGAAAGGAATGCTAAATTACAACCAAAAAAAAAAAAAAAGAAAAAAGAAAGAAAAAAAAAAAAAAAACAAATCGAAATAAGAGACATCATAAGCTGAAAGATCATTTTGCAAAAAAATCTAAAAGCAAAATTGACGGTTGGAAAATAATATGATTTTGTTAACAAAAGAAAGCAACTTCACAAGACTGATTTACAACTTATAGTAGCAACAATAAGCTTGGCGACATGGAATTGTGGCTCAATGTAACCACTATAATGTTTGCTTTTAATTATGAAAAAAAAAAAAAAAAACTTATAGTAGCAACAGTTTAAAAGTTTGAGTATGCTAGTGTTAACCTCTTTTGCTTTATTTTTTTGGGTAAGTTACCAAAATAAGAAATGATATACAATAAGGTTCAGAACACGTTGTCGATATAAAGCCGGCAAAAGCTTAGCAACAGAGAAAGCACTCTCACACCCTGAGAGGCTAGGGAAACAAAATACACAATTTCTTACATCTCAGGAAAAGAAACAACAAACTCTCCAGGATAGCAAGTTCATACAATCTCACCACATGCCTTAGATTTTGGGTATTGGATTTTGTATTTAATGGAATCATTCAGTAAAGAGATAAGGAGCTAGAGAAGTCCCTTTCTAAGAAGCATAATGTTGGAAATCTGACTTTATTTTTCTTTCCTTATTTTAAGGCTTGATTTTCCTTATTTTTCTTTCCTTATGTTAAGGCTTGATGTACTCCATATATTAAGGCTTCATGTAAGGCTTAACATACTCCTTTTGTGTATATATATAGAGTGGCTAGCCTCATTAGAAGTTAAGCCAATTTACACATATTTTACTTTTCATAAGAAGCTTTAGGCCACTCTTGGAGCTCCTTCTCAATAAACCCGACAAAGAAACAATGAAAAATACGTTGTCAGTCCTCATAGTCAGGAGACCAATCCAATTAGAGTATAATCATGCTCCCGAACAATAGAAAATATTATCTTCGAAAATGTTTAGGACAATGAGCTATGCCCCTCTCCTTAGCAAGCTTGAGGCTGAGACGCAAAGTTTTTGTTTGATCATCTTCACAATCCTCCCACTCACTTTAGAAGGTATGTAGAATTCAAACACTATTCTTTATACACTTCCATCATATTCACTGTCATCATCCTCAAGCTCACTTGGCTTACAAAACATAACTGAAGTACCACTTACCCTTTCTTTGGGGTCAACATGCACGATCGTGGACTCTACAACGGTCTCAACTCTCAACTACCTTCTTGGACATTGCCAAGGCATTACCAACCTTCTCTATTAGAGTAGACATCCTAATAAAAGAAAGAATCTAAAAGAAACTAGAAATGGAAAATCAAGTCTATAGCATTATTACCAACAGGTCAGTGGTCTAGCGGTACCAGTCCCCTACTTCCCATAGGGAGGTCAGGGGTTCGAGCCTTAGTAGAGGCATGTGAGGTCAGGGGTTCGAGCCTTAGTAGAGGCATGTGTGTGTGAGTACCAACTAAGAAAAAAAAGTCTATAGCATAGTTCGACGACATGGACAAGGATGTGGAGCAACAGACACGAGGCCGTACCGGGCATAATGCAACATAATAGAGAGAATAACTAAAGCAAATGACATTTTGTCATCCTCCGAATCAGTCTAATGGCCAAACGATGTCATGTCCTCACACATATTTTCATAGTAAATTTCCCATCACTCTTTGAAATTGAGGTGTCAACTATAACAAATACCAAAATGCCAAACCAACATTCCGCATATGGACTACTAAACTAAAATAATTATCCAATCATAAGGAACTATGACATGAAACATGGTAATCAAATGATCCTCTTAATACAAATAAAGAGACCATATCCACGCTAAATCTTCGTTCATCAAGAGTGCACCACATAGCCAACTATTGATGGTCTTAAAATTTTTCTTAAACAAAAGGTACAACATTCAATTATGAAATGCCAAACATTTTTAGCCCCTGGTGCATGCATGAATAGTGGAATAGGGAGGAAAACAAAGAAAGCAGTCCAAGATAATAATACACATATAAGAACAGGAAAACCTGCATTGTTCTTCGTACAACATAACTAAATAGATGTGACGGTAAGGTAGAGCATCTTACAAAATGCGAAAACTAAGAAACTTTAGATCTTGGCTCAACCTCACCAAATGCTCCCATCCAACTTCTTCTATCTGTGTACGAAATAACAAAAATTTAGGATCATTAGATTAAGAATCCTAGAACAGTTATTACTTGTGAGAACAAACTCAGCAAACTAATATCAAGATCTTTCATGAAGTTATCAGGTGCTTGTTCTGACAGAAGTTAGGCATAATGTAATGGTGTTAAAAGACCATTTCTTTTATTTATTTGCTTCAGCACTAAAAATATTTAAAACTTCAAAAAGTCTCAACTATCAACAATTGAACATAGTATATAGGGCATGGTTAAAGTATATATTACTGCATGCCAACAGTTTATGCATCCAGTAAAGACTCTTGTTAAAGTAAGAGAACAACATATTTCTCGATCACCAGAAGCTCTCAGGAGTCAGGAATGTTCTCTTGATTTGTCCCACCAACACTGCTACCAACAGCGAATGGAACCGGCACGCCAAACACACCATGTTGCATGGGCACTTTATTTAACCAAGATTTTGTGTGTGTGTGTGTAGAGGAGAAAAGAAGTTTCAGCATAAAGTGGTGTTTTTTTTTTTTTAAAGATTGCATAAAGAAACGTTCAAAAGGGGAATGCATCCCTCAAAAAATACACAAGGCCTAATAGGGCCTCTAAACTCTCAAAGAGTCCAAAAAATCAACTATCTCCTCCGTGGATTTACAATATCTCCCTATAACCCAACAAAAAAGAGTGTTTATAATAGAGAATTTGAACTCCCCTATAGGAGTCTCCTTTCCTTCAAAGGACCACCTATTTCTTTCAAGCCATAAACACCACCAAATGCAAAGCGGCATAACTCTCAAAAAATCACGGACTTGGGCCCCCACTATACAACCTCACCAAGCCTCAATCAAAATTCTGGGGGATCTGGGCATAACCCACTGAACCCCAAACAAACTCAACAGTAAGACCCAGCAATCCCAAGCCACGGGGCAATGCAGAAGAAGGTGATCAACCGTGTCAGCATTAAGTATTGGTGTCCCACCAACACTACTGCGAACAGCAAATGGAATAGGCACGCCAAACACACCATGTTGCATAGGCACTTTATTTAACCAAGATTGTGTGTGTGTGCGCGCGCATGCATGTGTGGAGGAGAATTAGAAGTTTCAACATTACATATTGCTGTTCCCGTCCTAAGATTTAAGGATTAAATGAATCTGCTATATGAACAAGTAACTGTACTGGAATGCATACCCAAGTCTATGTAACATGAATTGGTAATAAATAACACCTTTAAAGCTTTCACATTAACATTTATCTTTTACCGGTCTAAAAGATCGTAACATAAAACTTTTAGAAGATAAAGAATAATCCATAACAAGTACACATGAAAATATATTGGACGAAAGAATACTGCGTCCCAAAATACTTGTCCTTCTTCTCATTTTTGGCTGTCCAAAAATTCATTTCCCATTTGAAAAGTCAAAGTTAAAAAGATTGCATCATTCCAGAAATATTTTATAATTATCGAAAGTTTTCCCAAGATTGATAATACAAATTTTTTACTTTAAAGGGTATGGAATTTCAAAGGAGACAATGCATTAATTTCATTTCCCTTAAAAAAGATTGAGTATCCAAAACGGACAACTAAAATGGGATGGAGGAGTATCAGCTTTCTTGGTTTTTTCTTTAAGCTTGCTAGAAACCATACTTATACCTCCATATAACGAAAGTCAATAACTTGATAAGAAACCGTTCCAACAGTTAGATGGCCAACGTTTAGATAGAATAGAGAAACTTCACCAATGTCTCATATATAAAACCACATAAAGTAGAAATATCATATCACAGAGCAGTGCCTGAAAAGCTAAACCAGCACCAATGGAGGAGATAGGGGGCATGGGAGAATGAATGTCAACTAGTCAGGTGAACAGTCACATATTAGGAATGTCAACTCAAGAAGTCCACAATTAAGAAAATGAGTCAAATAGATGACATAGGTACATCACAAGCATGTTCACAGAGGAACCACATCAAAGTGTCATGCCAATAATATTCATAAAGCTGTGGAAAGCCTTAACAATCCAATAATATGTAGAACACTCTTATGTTCCAACCGATCAATGGTTTTAATCTTTTTAATGAGAAATAAAATCAAGAGAAGGATTGTAAAATGTTATTGATAAAAGGCAGTTGGAGTAAAGGATGATTTGAGATGAATGAGAATGGCATAGCCCCTATACCATGGAAACCAACATCAGTCACAAAATGAAGGTAGAACCTCCTACATTTTAAAAATACAGAACATGAATCCAATATGCTATTACTTCTTTCATGATCCCAACACAAGCATGGGTGATGCAGCAGCGGGTAGGGGCGATTCGAAATCAGAATTCAAATAGAATAAGTACGAGATTGAGAGAGAAAGGGAAGAATAATAGAGGGAAGAGATATCAGAAGAGAAGAATAATAGAGGGAGAATAAATCACGATAATCTCAAAATTCAATATCAATAATCATCAAAAGCTGTCTTTCACAATGTCTTAACCAACCTTATATAGGGATCGAAGAAAAACCCTAATCAAACTATTACCATAAATAGAAATCCTAAAATCAAATAATAATAAGAAAAGTCAAAATTCCTAATTCTATCTTTCCTTCCCACGTCTCCAATAATATGCGTGGGCTGTATGGACTTCAAGCTCTCGGGCCAGGCCCGGTTCTTCACCATTCCCTCCCGGTTGAGAAGAACTCTCCTCCAAAGAGTACATGCATAAGTATACTCCAAAAAGTATGAGTCAATAATCCGTCTGATATTTGAAACTGGAAAATCCTTCCATCGAACAAGGTAATACTTAATATCTCCAAGATGAGGGCCATCACTCTGATAATCAACAATATCCTCTGTCCAATCCATATAATGCGGCTGAAAAGATAGATGAACTAATGTCGGTGCTGAGGAAAATGTAAATCCACCTGTAGGAACACATGCCAATAAAATAGGAGGCTCAAAGGTGCCTTAGTCAGATAACAAATACTCCACATCAAAAATTGAATAAGTACTCAGATCCAATGACCAGTCAAAGAAATATGCATTAGGTCCTGATTTTTGAACGATGTGGAAAATTCCAACAATTTTTGCATGTTTTATTTGAAAGGAGTTTTTAGGATAAGGTTGAGGTAGTGCACAGATTATAGCATAATCTCGTTCCATTAATTCATGATTCCTATGGTAAGAATATTAGTGAAAGAGGGTAGAGAGAGAAGAGAGGAAAGTCAACATGGTCAACCCATCCTCAAATGTTACATCCTTAATTTCATCCAATTTTGTGCATTTGGGTGGTGGAGAATCCAACACCTCATATGTGACAATGGGAGCTGCCTTAATTATGAATTTTTCTTCTTTTGCCAACACAATAGACTCTTTTTCAGACACATCTTGACCAAGACTACTTCAGCAAAATCAATGGACATAATTCCCATAGATTGTAGAGCTTTTGAAAAACAAGGTTTAAGAATTGTAGCACATTGTTCAAGACTTCTTCTCCTAACTTGTAAGATTGAGGTGAAATAGTCCGATTTTCCTTTCTAACACTAGTTAGAAGAGGATGAAGTAGCTCTACAAAGATATAGTCGCTTTCTTCAAGTACTAGAGTCATAATTTTCCCCATTGATGATATCTGAGTGAAAATACCTTATTCCTTAAAAAGTGTTCAAACTTCTCAACAATTCATTCATTACAGTCCAAATCACGCATAATCAAGCATGACTTGACCTGTGCAACAGTGTGAAGCATTGAAATAGCTTTTATGTAGCAACGGTCAGAAATATGAGACAACTTCTCAAAAGACTTAACAGTTACCTGAAAAATCTCCTTTAGTTGCTCATCACTAAAAGGCTCATTTGGTGCAGTAATTCTCATAATTTCATTGAAACAACAGGCAACTGAAATTCTCACATCTATATTTGGGTGTCTGAATAAGACATTTGCAAGTTAGACCTCTATTGTCAAAGATATTGCATTTTGGATCAATATTGATGGATTTTGTTTCACATTGCATAAAAGAAGCTCTAACTCATCAAGCATATTGAGAAGTTCAGGTACAACAAATGGAAGCATAAAGAGCCTATTTCTAATGTTTAGGAGTTGTTTGGACTACTCCCCCTTCGACAACTCTCTTTCATCTTCACACTAGTCTGTTCGACTTTCATGTGATATGAAGTTTGGTTTGTGCTCAACAATCCCAATCTTGCTTGGCTTAGAACACAGCCATTGGGGACATAAAACGACGTTCTCTTCTAACATTGTTATGTATTAATGAAATGGGAAAGAAATAAGAACGCCGACATAGTATTCAAATTGAATTAAGCAAATCAAATTATAACCACGACAACGCACAAGCAGGAAATATGAATGCAATTAAAGTGACTATGCCAAAATTCATGCACTAGTGGTAGGTATTTAGGTGTAAAAATAAAGCGGAAACAATGAAAACAAATTTTTTTTTGTTTTTTTTTTTTTAATTAGACCTTTTTATTTTATTTTATTTAACTTTGGCAAGAAACTAGAAAGAAATAAAATAGCAATTGAAGTAAATAATTTGGTTCAAGAATCAAATGGGTTCAATTAGGACCTTTTGCAATTTAAGAACCAATCAAATGGAAAAAAGTACTAAAACAATTTTCAAGTGAAGAATGCGTACCTTTTCCGAAGTCCTTTGTAATCAACCCTTGAATGTTCCTAAATAAGTCAATCTGATTTTATTTATTTTTTTTTTTCCTTTTTCTTTTTTTTTGCGGGTTCAACTTGAACTGTTTTTCTGCTGAAGTGATGCGAATTTATGTAAAATATGTATAGTATGTGTAGTGTTTGGGGTGATTTTCAAAAAATAATGTAGTCTAGGGGTACTTTAGTAATTTCAGATTTTGGACGTTTTAGATTGGGTTAATTTTAGGCTGTCTTGGGATATTTGGGGTGATTTTATAATAGAAGTTAAGTGGATGGGGTATTAGAAAAGTTTCCTTTATTTTTGGGGTTTATGTGCAAAACACTGAAGTAGCTTCTTTAGGA